CCTCCCCTTCCGGCCCCCGCCGCTGGAGGCGCCGTGAGAGGTTGGTGTCTCTGAAGCCACCAACCCCTATGCTGGGGCTTTGCATGGGGTCCAGTCGAGCCCTGAGCTTGGATTTACACTGTAATAAAGACTCCTGTGGAAAATCCACGGCTTTCTGTGCTTTCAGGCCCCTCCACTTACACCTTCCTACACCGAAAAGTTGTTTTTTTGGTTTTTGTTTGTTTTTCGAGACAGGGTTTCTCTGTGTAGCTTTATACACACAGGCTGGCCTCAAACTCAGAGAGATCTGCCTGCCTCTGCCTCCCGAGTGCTGGGACTAAAAGGCGTGTGCCACCAACACCCGGCTACTGAAAAGTATTTTTAAAAAATACACCGCTAGTGGTAGTGCAATCCTTAAATCCCAGCACTCAGGAGTCAGAGGCAGGTGGATATTGGAGAATGACACAAGCCTGGTCTGCACAGTGAGTTTCAGGACAGCCAGAGCTATGTGCAGAGACCCTGTCTCAAAAAAAAAAAAAAAAAAAAAAAAAAAGGAAGGAAGGAAGGAAGGAAGAAATGATTGGGGGCTGCAAGATGGCCCATCTGGTACAAACCGGAATGGTCTGAATGAGATCTTCTAAATCTACCATGTTAGAAAGAGAGAATTGACCCCGTAGTCTGCAATCTTCCATCTGTGCTCCATCACATGCCTGCACTCACCTACAATACACAGAAAAGTGTCATTTTAATGATTTCCAAATAAAAGTTAGAAAATTAATTACTGGGGCTGATGAAAAGCACCTACCTCCAAGCTGATCCCACGAGTTCCGTTTCTGGGAACTACATTGTGAAAGATCAGAAATGGCCCCTTTAAGTTGTTCTTGTAGACCCTCACATATGCCTTCAAATAGATAAATGTTAAAAAGAAAGAAAGAAAGCCAGATAAAACAAAACAAATAAATAAATATGAAAATATATCATCTACAATCAGACCCGTCTCACAAAAAGGGGGGGGGGGAGATTTAAGATCTGTGATTGAGTTCAGTCGTTAAAGGCACTTTCTACAGAGGTGTGGTATGAGCTGAATTTGGGGAATGTACATAAAGGTATAGAAATTCGGGGCTGGAGAGGTGGCTCAGCAGTTAAGAGCACCAGTTGCTCTTCCAGAGGCCCAGGGTTTCCCAGCTCCCTTCCAGGGTTCACAGCCTCCTTTAACTCCAGTCTCAGGGGATCCGATGCCCTCTTCTGGCCTCTGTGTGTGCTGTGGGGCACAGACACACATACAGGTGAAACACAGCAGTAAAGACCAGAAGACAACTGTCTCCATGACGTCAGAGGGCATCAGTCTATGTCCTGTGTACACACATATACATAATTATATTTTCCAAGTGTGACCTAGCAGAGATGCTCAATCCTAGAAACTTCTATGGTTAGTTAGTAGGTTAGTTACGATAATGGCACTGTTTTCCAAATGTCAATCACCCCCTTGTGAGAACCTTATACTAATGGCTCGTTCTAGGGATGTGGTTTAGTGAACGAGCACTTGCCAGCCAGGCATTGGTGTCGAAGGGCCTTTAATCCCAGCTCTCGGGAGGCAGAGGCAGGCGGATCTCTGTGAGTTGGAGGCCAGCCTGGTCTCCAGAGCAAAGCTACACAGAGAAACCCTGTCTTGAAAAGCGTGTGTGAGAGAGAGAGAGAGAGAGAGAGAGAGAGAGAGAGAGAGAGACAGCACTTGCCTAGCAAGTATAAGGTCCTGTGTTTAATACCCAGCACTGCCTGACACAGAAAATGCCGAGTGGACAGCCAGACATGGTTGTACACACCTGTAATCCCAGTGCTGAGTTCTAGACCAGCTACATAGTTCAAAGCTATGGTGAGACTCTGTCCCAAAAGACTGGTACTGGAGAGAGGGGCTCAATGGTTAAGAGCATTGGCTGTTCCTTTAGAGACACCGTGGTTCAATTCCCAGCATCCACATGGTGACTCACAACTATCTGTAACTCCAGTTCCAGAGGACTTGACACCCTCACACAGACAGGTATGCAGGCAAAAACACCAATGCACATAGAGTAAAAATAAAAAGTCTTTTGGTCAAAGGGGCCGGGCGTTGGTGGTGCATGCCTTTAATCCCAGCACTCGGGAGGCAGAGACAGGCCGATCTCTGTGAGTTCCAGACCAGCCTGGTCTACAAGAGGACAGGCTACAAAACCACAGAGAAACCCTGTCTCGAAAAACCAAAAAAAAAAAAGGTCAAAGGGAATGCAGCGCAGCGGTAGAATCCTCCAGCAAGGGCAGGGGACATGGCTCAGTGGTACAGAGGTACCCTAGCATGCAAAGGGCCCTAAGTTCCAACCTCAGCACCACAAGCAAGCAGAATAAAATAGAACAAATACCATTTGTAAAGAAAATGTTACTTGCCGCCTTGGAAGTGAGCCAGCATTGCTTGTCAGAAATAGATTACAGCAAAGACAAACACAAAAATGTTAAGGATTGTTTGTTCATCACTGTATAACTTTGCTCTTGCTGTGCATGTCATTGCAGGAGACAGACACAGAGGTGCTGAGAAGGAGTTACACACACAGAGTTTGCATATAATAGGGATGCCATGCGGTGTGGCAGATTGCTAATAAAACAGAGGGGCTGCAAGATGGCTCAGAGGTTAAGAGCACCGACTACTCTTCCAGAGGTCCTGAGTTCAGTTCCCAGTAACCACATGGTGGCTCACAACCATCCGTTATGAGATCTGGTCCCTCTTCTGGTGTGCAGATAGACATGGAAGCAGAATGTTGAATACATAATAAATAAATAAAATCTTAAAAAATAAATAAATAAAACAGAGAAGGGCTGCAAGATGGTTCAGGGCGTAGAGGCACTTGCAGCCAAGCCTGACGCCCTGCCTTCAATCCCTGGAACCCACAAAATGGAAGGAGGGAACTAACCCCACAAAATTCCCCTCTGCACCCAGGAGGCAAAAGTAGGCAAATCTCTGTGAGTCAGAGACCGGTCTGATCTAGGTAGTGAGTTCTAGGCCGGATGGGCTATGCCAAAAAAGCAAACCAAAACCAAAAAACAAACAAGCAAACAAGCAACAACCCCCCCCAAAAAACAGCCTGGTCTACAGAGCGAGTTCCAGGATAGCCTCCAAAGCCACAGAGAAACCCTGTCTCGAAAAAAACCAAAAATAAATAAATAAATAAATAAATAAAATAAACAAAACCAACCAACCAACCAAACAAACAAACAAAAAACCCACCAAAACAGCAGTATCTGACTCTCCAGCCAAGTTGTGCTACTTTTCAATTTAGTTTACTGTTGTTGCTATTGGGTTTTTTGTTTCTTTGTTTTGTTTTGACGAGCACTGTTGTTTTGCCTGCATGTAAGTCTGTGTGACGGTGTCAGGTTCCCTAGAACTGAAGTCACAGACAGTTGTGAGCTGTCACGTGGGTGCTGGGAACTGAACCCAGTCCTCCGGAAGAGCAGCCAGGGCTCTGAACCACTGAGCTTTTTTTTTTTTTTTTTTTTTTTTTTTTGGGCCTTTCTTTAAAAAAACCCAAGGG